GGGGGGGGGGGGGGGGGGTTTTCCCCCCCCCCCCCCCCCCCCCCCCGCTCCCTCCCTTCCTCCTCTCCGTCCGCCCCGACGGCACAGGTAGCATGCTAAAAGAGAAGAAAACTCTCTTTGGCATCCGCGTCGCTCCTTCCCCCATACTTTCCCCTAGGAAACTGCCCTGGATCCGCCTGTGGCAATGACTGCCCGTCCGCCGCTTCTCTGACGGACAGTCTGATTGTTCACATGGTCACGAGGGGATAAACCGAGAATCCTTCGCTCCTTCACTCTCACTGTCAGAACCAGCGTTCGCTTTTCACGCAAGTGTTCACAAGCACTCATCTGTGTTAATAAAAATTATTTATAAAATTGAGCCTTCAAAAATTTTAAAAAAACTTGCATTAACAAGACGCTTAGTGCAAAAATTTTTACCTGATTCAACGACTCCGAATGGGTAATTTGCTTTGCTGTACGTTTTTCGGAAATCAAAGGTTTGGGCAGCGGCGGAGGACTTGTCTTTGTACCTAAATCGGTTGCAACAGTCAAGAAATAAGGGTCAAAATTTGCGCAATAATAAGCAGAACAATGACTTGCAGGCTGTGAAAAACTTCGGCGATTCATTTTTACGAAAAAAATAAAAACATATCCTCTCCCAATGATAATTGGGAGCATGCCAGGAAAACGCTATCAACTTGCTTGCAAGTAATCGTCCGAAAAAAGCTAATAAATTATTGATTTTTATAATCTACTATTGCTGTACGGCTATTTCAAAGCATCTCCATCTTGCAGTAATGTGTAAAGTAATTTTGACTTGTAAGAGACAAAAAGAATCAAATCCCTGAAATAAATATTAATTTGATTGTTTCCAGCAACAGCTAATAGCCCCATTCGTGCTCTAATTTGTACAGAAAGCCCAAAATCACTCTGACCGCACAGATCTCGAAGCTCTTCAATTTCTCTGGCCGTACAGATCTTGAAAAACTCTTAAAACTGCTCTGGCAGTACAGATCTTGAAAAACTCTTTAAAACTTGGTAAATCCAAAAGCAACAAACCCTTAAAAGTGTTTGCTTGCATTCTCTTATTGTCAGAAGGCTTCTTGGGGATACCATTCACGAAAAGGTCACCAACTCCACCAGTCGCTAGCTGTTTTGCGCCTCCGGCGCTAGCACTACCACCATTACTCTCTGATGAGCCTAAAACTCGTTAAAATGTAAAATATTAAATTCTCGACAATAAATTCTGATTGTAAAAAAATTTCTTCACCATCCGATGACCTGTCAGTGTTTACAGCTAAGGGATGAAACAAAGACTGCAAATTTACCTGATCCATTAGAATATGCAATTTTCAAACAATTTTACTAGATATTCCCTGCGAAATATAGGATCACTGAGGACAAAGTTGTGACATGCAGTGAAGGAACACCACTGTAAAACAACAAAAACTTTATCTCTTGAAAAATTTCCCAGCACTAGGAGCAAGTATAGATTTAAGTACCTATAGAAGGTAACTATGGGATACGAAGTGGAAGGCCTTGTGGATGTCGACCCAAGCCATGTTCAGGAATTTCTGATCTGCGATACTGTGTCCAGCACCACCGCCCAGGCCAGTACGTGGGCATGAGTCCCTAGAAGTTTAATAAAGCGGCAAATTTACACGTTACCATGAAATACTGATGAAAAATACCGTACCATACGAAAAATCTGAGAGTTTCAAACAAATTCCAACATTACTTACCGACAACTTTTCCTCCGAGCACTGGCGCTGACCGATCATTGGTAACTGTTTTGCGCAATTTCAGGCCAGCCTGAATTTCATGCAAAAGTTTCTCACGGTTGTTGTTGTTGTTGTTTCTGCTTTTGGACGCCATCATAACTGGTGCTGCTGTTCGAGGAGTCAGTAAACTCGATGCGGGCGGTGGTGGAGGAGCTGGCGGCGGTGGTACTGGCATCTTCTCCTGCAAAAATAAAACAATTTCGAGATAATTTTTCCCCGTACAGCGACTATATGGGCAGAAACAAAAGCAAACCTCTTCAAATTTTCAAAAATCACTTTTAACTTTTCGAAAGAAAAAAATCACTAAGTTCGCTTAATAAGGCTCAAAGTATTACTTAACACCATTAAAATCAAACAGCCCAATGTTACGTCGCACAGTTGGTCACAATGGCTTTTGATGACATCAACGATGCTGTGAAATTTGCGTCAGCTGGTCAACCCCTCCACACAAAACAACTGGCTAAAGGCTGCAACGAATATTTACTTCCTGGTCAAGACAGACGTAACTGTCAACACCTCCCAAGTCAACAACCTCAATCTGCTGCCTGGTCGAAAACAAACAGTGATACTTTGCATCATATTCGTTTTTGATGCACGCTAATTTCCAGACCATTTTCTTGCTTTAAAATGTTAAGATTTCGCAACATTTCAGTTATATCGAGAGGGCTGTTTGCAATAAGAACTATGTCATCAAAAATAGTTCCCCAGCAGCTATCTCCAGATAACCTATCTCGAGGAAAAAAGTGAAAAAATTGGAAAATACACGAAAATCGCCTTGCCTCATGGGCCACTTCCATCGGTTAATGTGGAAAAATGTTATGTCTGTCAAACAATCAATGTTTCATCCTACATTTTATACTTAATTTATATACACTCAACATAATTCTCAAAAAAAAAAAAAAAAAAAAAAAATTCAAAA